CCGCCCGCGCCGCGCGGAGGCACTGCTGGAAAGATAATTACAAACGGTAAGCCTGTTGCGAGGCTCACGGCGACGGGGCGGCGCACACATACCTGCGGGCGTGGCGTGGCGGGGCGGGGCGCAGTGCGGCGCGGGGCGCCACCGTGCCCGTGGATTTGCACCGTCGCTTGTCTGCTAATGGACTTAATCTCCCCCCTGCTCGCGGAGCCTCTGCTCCCCCGCGCCGCCACGCGGCCTGGGCTGGTGTTACGGCGGCGCTCCCCCGTTTCGTTGTTATTGCGGCTCCCGCCACGCCACGCCCCGCCACGCCACGCCACGCCACGCCACGCAGCGCCCTGTCTCGCCCCGCCAGAACCCCGCCAGGTGCGGCGCAGCGATGGCCCCGGAAGGGAAGGACTGCTCCCGCCGCGCGACCGCCCCCATACCGTCCCACAGCACAACGGCGCGGCTCCCTATTCACTTCACCCTGCCGTTCCTCGTATTATCGACGTTGCCCGAAAGTTTGGGCAACAAAGCTGAGCTGAATGGTGCGGCTGCTTTTCCACGTACCGGTGTGCAGCACAAAGTCCCCGCCACCATCTCCTCACATAATCGCATAACAACAATTCTCAATGTTCTGCTCTCAGGAAATGTAAACCCTAGCCGCTGGCCGCGTCGGGGTTGTAACGTGCGGACCACTCAACTCATGCTCCTGGCAGGCGTCTGCTCGCACCTCCGCGCCACTCCCCGCCACACCACCGAGCCCTCATTAGACGCGCTGGACCATCATTGGTGATTCCCCTCGCGTTTTTTTCTGCGGTGTGCCGGGCTGGGTCCTCTCTTGCGGTGCTCTGCCGCCGCTGTGCGCCGCTTTGCGGACCCGGCCATAACGACCTCACCGCCCTGCCCCCTCTGCTCCCCCCGCCCCGCCTCCTTTTTTATGTATTTGATTTGAGTGAACCCCAGCGGTGCTCTGTCTGGGTCGGCGGGTCGGCGTGGTATATTGTCGGACCCTCCTCGCCCCGGGGCTGGCGCGGGCTGGCGCGGGCTGGCGCGGTGCGGAGCGGCCTGGCGCGGGGCTGGCCGGCCCAGGAGGGCCAACCTCCCCGGTTGGTATTAATCCCAAGCGCCGTGCCCCCTTGTGCGCCGCCCCCCCTAGCCTCCACCCCGCCAACCTGAGGGGACAAACACATCTCGGGGAGACCCTGCTCTCATCCCGGACCCATTTCCAGCCCAACCCCTCCCATGCAAGCGCCCCCAACTCCTCCCCCCCC